TATGATCCAGCAATGCCACTTCTGGGTGTATATCCAAATTAGTGAAATTAGGATCAGGAAGAGATATCTGCAGTCATGTTCATTGCACATTATTCACAATAGTCAAGATATGGAAACAGCCTAAATGTCTTCAATAGATGAATGGATATAGAAAATGTCACACACACACACACACACACACACACACACACACACACACACACTGAAATATTCAGTCTTTAAAAGAAGGAAATCCTGACTTCAACATGGATGTATGACAACATGGATGGAATTGGAGGACATTATGCTAAGCAAAATAAGCATGACACAGAAAGAAATATTGTATGATCTTGTTCGTACGTGGAATTTAAAATAATCACACTTACAGAAGCAGAGTAGGATGGTGGTTGTTGCTAAGGACTGTGAGGAGGAAGAAATAGGGTTATGTGGTTCAAAGGGTACAAAGTTTCAGTTAAGCAAAATGAGTAAGTTCTGGAGATCTAATGTACAGCACAGTGACTATGTATATGATACTGTATTATATACTTGAAAATTGCTGAGAGGATAGATCTTAATGTTCTCACCACACACACCAAAAAGGTAATTATGTGAGGTAATGGATCTGTTAACTAACCTTATGGTAATCCTTTCACTATATATATATATATATATATATATATATATATATTTGATATATATATATCAAATCGTCATGTTTTACACCTTAAACTTACACAATATTATATTATATGTCAATTACAACTTAATAAAAAAATAAAATCAAGTTATACATCATGTGTATGTGTATATATATATGTATGTATATATATATACACATACCATTTTTATGTCAATGATATCTCAATAAAGCTGTTGAAAAAAAAGAAAGAATTCATCACAAGCAGATCCATATTATAAGAAAGGAAGTTCTTTTTCAGGTAGTAGCATAATTATAGGGGATGGAAACATGACTTACAAAAATAAAGCACTAAAAACACTGGAAAGCAGTGAAAACATATAAGGGTAAATATATAACATATTTTTCTTATCTTTTAAATTTCTTCTAATAATTATTAAACAAAGTAACTATGGAGTATGGGATTATTACATACATAGAAATAAAATATGTGATAGCAAAAACACAGTATCTGGGATGAAAGAAATAAAAGAATAGTATTGTAAAGCTCTTATACTATTTGTGAAGTGGTATAATATCACTGGAAGGTAGTCTGTGATAGGCTGAAGATATATCCTATAAATCTGAAAGGAACCACTAAAATAACAGAGTTATAGCTAATCAGCCAACAATGGAGATAAAATGGAGTCACTGATAATATTCAATTCAAAAGAATACAGAAAAAGAGGAAAAAGACAACACAGAATAGTTGGGGCAAATAGAAAACTAATAGCAAGATAGTAACCCTAACCCTAACCATATTAACAATTACTTTAAATGTAAATAGTTTAAATGCTCAAATTAAAAGACAGAGATTAGACTCGATAGAAGAATAAGTCTCAACTGCATGCTACTTACAAAACATACATTTTAAATATAAAGACACAAATAGGTTAAAAGTAAAAGAATGAAAAAAGACTTACCATGCTAACAATAATAAAAGGAAAGTTGGAGTGGCTGTATTAATATCAGTAGATTTCTGAGCTAAGAATAATGCCAGGGATAAAGAAGGTCATTTCATAATGACATAGAGATCAGTTCATTAAGAGGACATAACAATTCCAAATGTTTGCAAATCTAGTAACTGAGGTTCAAAGTACATAAAACAAAAACTGATAGAACTGCAAGGCAAAATCAACAAATCCACAATTATAGTTGATTTTAACATCTCTTTCTCAAAAACTGATAGAACAAGTAGACATAAAATCAGCAAAAAGACAGTAACTTAATGCCATCAAGACCTGACTGACATTTATAAAATACTCTACTTAACAATATCAGAATATAAATTCTTTGTAAGTACACTCAGAACTTTTACCAGGATAGATGATATCCTGATTATAAAACAAGTCTCAACACATTTAAAAGGACCCAAGTCATTCATACAAAGTATGTTCTTTGACCACTATAGAATTAGAAATTGATAACAAAAACATATCTGTAAAATCACTGGAACTGGCAAATTTGTCAATATTTCTTATGTCAACTTCTTATGACACAAAGATCAAAGAAATTAAGTGGAAATTAGGGAATATTTTGAAGTGAATGAAAATCCAACATATCAAATTTGTGGGATGTCACTAAAGATGTACTTAGGGGAAAATTTACTAAATGCTTATATTAGAAGAGAAAGGGGTATCAAATCAATGATCTCAGACTCCATCTTGAGAAACCAGAAAAAGAAAAGGAAATTAAACCTAAAGTAGGCAGAAGAAAGTAAATACATATCAGAATGGAAATCAGTAAAATAAAAAAACAAAACAAAAACCACAGAAAACCAATGAAACCAAACACTGGTTGTTTGAGAGGCTCAATAAAGCTGATGACTCTTAGGCAAGATTGATCAGGAAACAGAAAGAAGACACATCTGACCAGTATCAGCAATAAGAAATGTGACATCACTACAGATTTTACAGATACTAAAAAGATAATAAGGGAATATTATGAACAAGTTTATGACAATCTGACAACTTAGATGGAATGGACAAATTGTGTGAAAGACACAAACTATCCAAGAAGAAATAGATAACTGGAATATCCTGATATCTATTTTCTAGAATTTGTAGGTAAAAACCTTCCCACAAAGAAATTGCAGGCCCAGAATGCTTCACTGATGAATTCTATAAAATATTTAAGAAAAAAGTTACTTCTATACAAACTCAGCTAGAAAATGAAAGAGGAGGGAATATATCCCAACTCATCCTATGAGGCAAGCTTTACCCTGATTCCAAAGCAGACAAAAGACATTACAGGAGAAGAAAACTACAGATCAACACTCTTCACAAACACAGGTGTAAAGATTTGAAACAAAATCTTAGCCAATAAAATTCAATAATATATTAAAAGAATAAACATTATGATCAAAGGAGTTTAAGTGTGTAGGGTTGCTTCAACATTGAGAAAGAATAACCATATGATCATCTCAGTAGATACATAAAAAGCATTTGACAAAAATCCAATATTCATTCATATTCATTGCCACAATTAAACATTCAGAATCATGATCCTGTTACTCCTTTGTTTGAAACTTTCCCATTGTTTCCCATTTCCTATTGTGAAAATCAAATTCCTCATCCTGGTGTTCAAGGCTCACTGTGATCATTCCCCAACCCTGGCCCCTACAACCCTGTTACACCAATTGATGTGCTGTTCAGTGGGGCAATGCTATAAAATGCCTTATACCTACCTGGTCCTAGCATTTTCTGCCTCCTTCACTTTGTTTATGCTGCTCCTTCGTTCTAGGCTGGTGGTTCTCAACTTTGACTATGCATTAGAATTTCCATGGGATTTTAAAAAATTACGATGGTCAATTCTACCACTAGAAATTCTGACTCAAAGAGTCTAGGATAGGGTCAGGACATTAAAAACTTCTCAACTGATTCAATTGTGTAGGTAGGATTGAGAAGTAGTGCCCTAGAATGTTCTCACAGACTCCAAATTTGCATATCCAAAATTTATGTATCTTTTTTTTATGTTATGTTAATCACCATACATTACATCATTAGTTTTTGATGTAGTGTTCCATGATTCATTGTTTGCATATATCACCCAGTGCTCCATACAGTATGTGCCCTCTTTAATACCCATCACCAGGCTAACCCATCCCCCCTCCCTCTCCCCTCTAGAACCCTCAGTTTGTTTCTCAGAGTCCATAGTCTCTCATGGTTTGTGTCCTCCTCCGATTTCCCCCCCTTCATTTTTCCCTTCCTACTATCTTCTTCTTTTTTTTTTTAACATATAATGTATTATTTGTTTCAGAGATACAGGTCTGTGAGTCAAGTCTTATACAATGCACAGCGCTCACCATAGCACATACCCTCCCCAATGACTATCACCCAGCCACCCCATCCCTCCCAACCCCCACCACTCCAGCAACCCTCAGGAAACAAAATTTATGTATCTTTCTAAGATAATTCTAATTAACAACTCCTTCACAAAATCTTCCCAGATCATCCTCTGCTGGGAGAAAATTCTCTATATGCCTTGATACTTTATTTGCCTCTTTCAATCTTTATACCGGCAGGCGTTTCCTGATCTGAGTAAAAGTTCTTAAAACCATATTCACAAGTCTTTTTTTTTCTTTGAATTTTTGCTTCAAATAAGTCATCATTCTTAACATGTTAGATAGATGTTGAATGAATAATTTGATGAAGTGTTTTTAGATGGTTGAGAGAACACTTTATTCACTACAGTTGAATGGTAATAGTGGTTGATTTTAGGAAATCTGACCTAAGGGGAAAACAGTTTCCTTTATGTCTGAACTTCAAACCTAGCTAATAACTTCTCTTATCCCTCTCACACCCTCTGGGGACATGTGTTTATTTCTAATAATTCACAATTCAATCTGTTGTTAAAGCGACAAGAAAAGCAGGGTTAAGTAAATGTAGATAAGTCAGCTCTTTTATTTTAGCTCTAATATCAACTTTCTTCCTGATCAATTCTTTTTGCCATAGATACCAACAACTATAAAAATGGATCAATGAGTAAGTCTATGTTTTTCTTTCTGTCTTGAACTCAAGTGCCTAGTAGAAGAGAAAAAAGACACTACATCCATCTGAATGATTTGCCAATGATAAAAAAATAGAGTTGACTTTATTTGTAGGGATTATGTAGTGATGTTTTCACCTGCATCTTTGAAAAATCAGCATCCTTTGTTTGGTTCCCTAGAAAATTACAGTGGTTTCTTATCATTCTGCAGAACATGAAACAGTAATATTTCAATAAACTGCTTAGGGTTTTAGATGAAATCATGGATGTAATATCAGATTAGAACTTTATTACCTACTGAAGTAAAGTAGCTCCTATTCCAATAGAAGATATTAAATAGTTAAAATAGAATAGGTACCTGGATCTAGATTGGCCCACTTCTTCAAGAATCATAGAAAAGTGTTTCCAGGCTTTCTCAGCATGGAATGAATGTGGAAGAAGTTTCTTTGAATCACCAAACAAAGATAGGAAATAATCTTCTCCTTCCCCAGTTACTGGTGTCTCAGCAGCAAGGAGCAGAGCCTGTCTCTTTGTCATTATGGAGCTGTTGACTCCTTTCAAAGAAACCAAAGAGGAAAGCAACAAAAAGTAGTAAATAAAAGGACATTAAAGAACACAAAGCCACTATCTCTATTTTTTGCTTCTACAAAATTATATTCTTTATACATTTTACTGTCACTTTCAAACTCAATGAGGATAATTAAAAGCTATAAACCAAAGTCTATGAAGTAAGTAGTGATTATTTTTGTGACACACAATTCCTAGAGATTATGTCAGTTATTTTAAAATATCAATAATACCATTAGCATAATGACTTTTATTTAACTGATTATTCAGTTGTAGTAGAAGCATCATAAGTTTTCAAGGAGGTAAACATCTGAGTTTCTCAAATTTGGATATGTTATATATAAATACAACTTGATTTCATATTAGCCATCCTCCCCAAATTACTACCCCTAAATTAAAGCCTCAAATGAACCCTTCCTACCAATAATTAGTAATTTTGCCAGGTAAAGACTTAAATTTCCTCTATTCAACTAAAATAGTTTATTAGAAAGATAGAGTAATGCTTAATCAGACTCTAGTATCCTCTTGGAAAGTTGTTCTTTTAAAATTATCACTACTAAGATTTAAATACAGAACAGTTTTTATAATTTTGCATGGAAAGAAGCAGGCTGGGTAAATCTAATGATGTGTCTGCAAAGAGTGAGTAACACTACAGAGAGAGACAATAGTGAAGTGGATAGAACACTGTGTCTTGGATTTAGACAGACCTGCAATTGTATCCCAGCTCTGCCACTTAGTAAGACAACTAATTCTCCATTTTCCTGAACATAGAATAAGGCAATGTGAAGATTGAAGAAAATGTAGATAACTTTCCAGTGTAGTGTCTAGTTTTTAACAGGTATTTAGTAAGTGATAGCAATTATTGTAGTTCAGGGGCTTTGGTTGATGTGACACTGTGTCCAAAATCATCAAAGGACTGAGACAATCTAGAGTATGCTTTATATTCTTGTATCCTTAACAAAACCAAAGCAAGGTGAAAGATGAAAAAGAATAAACACATAGTTTCTAAAGAGGATTAAAGAAATGTTTGGAATTAAATTAGTTCATTCCCAGTCACTTGAGTATTTACTTAATCCTTGAGTTCCTTTGGGGAAAGAGATTATATAGTATTCTTTTTAATGGCTCATCTGGGATGAAAACCTTTATACTATAAAAAGGAAGAAGACAGACTAATTTTAGTCCTAGTTGTTATTTCACCTAGAGGAACAGATGGAACGGAACCAAATGCAACAAGTTTCAGTGGACCAGGCATTTATCTACAGAACCTGAATCTACGGCAACTGAAGAAGACTACACACCCCAGCTCAACTCTCATCTTGCAAGGGGAAACTACTATATTTTGTTTTTCCCCTAAGAGCTTGCACAGTTTAATCCAAATATAGAATATATACCATGATGATACAGGGATAAAGAAGGAAAAATATTCCCTCCCTGGATGTGAAGTTGGTATTTTCACTTTTGAGTATATGGATTTTGGTCATTGCTAAAGGTCAGTGTGATCTTAGGAGGCTTCTTTAAAAAGTGCATTATAGGCATACAAACAATGAAGCATAGGGAATAATGGCAGATCAAAATCCTACATAACACTGTGTCACAAGCTTAGGAAAATGCCAGAAACAAAATGAAATATAGACAAGTAGCAGCCAGGCTTAAATATCCACAGAATAATAGAGGAAAATAGAGACATCAAGTAGTCATGGGTGTGTTTATGCTACCAGTTTTGAAACTTGTTGACTGGTAATTGAAATACAGATCCCCAATCTAGCCTATTCAATGAGGAGGTGCTTACAGATATATTCATATTCATGACTAATTTTTTATTAAGCACTTACTATATGCTAGGTGATTTTCATAAGTATTTTATTTAATCCTTAGGCCAGCCCTGTGAAGTTGATATTTTAATCCCTATTTTGCACTTGTGGGTAATGGAACTCAGGGATACCTAACCTATTATCTCACAGTGTAGGTAGAAATATCCTTTAGACCTAAGTTCTCTGTTTCCAAGACCATGATTTTTTCAGTAAACCATGATAACATACCTTTAAAGTTCCCTAACATCATGAGGAACACACTGTGGATATTGCTGAGTGCATTGCTTACACTGTTGGCAACTGTCAAAACCCGACTTTTTCCTATTGTAGTACTGTTTTCATTTTCTTCTCCTCCAAATTCATTATTGTTCTCCTATCTTTCCACCATTTTCTTACCATTTATTTTGCTTCTGTTATATGTCTGTCTTTTCCTTACTTAAGCATGTCTCCTAATGGCACAAATGCACAAGACATTGCTTAATCTTTCTGGTAGTGTTCAGAGGAAAGGGAGTTAATGCTATACATTATAATTTTTATCTAGCAATTCTAGAGCATCCAAGCATCAACCATTGAACCATTATGACAATTCAAGATATTTTAATCACAGGGATGATACATTTGGCCACATACATTTATATGACCTGAATATGACTCAGTGTTAGGATCAATGGTGAGCATAATCAAGTTACTCTGCATATGACATTAAGAAATCTGTGTTATCAGAAGACATTCTGACGTCCAGGCATATAAAGAAGCTATTGAACTACATGCTTTAAAAATAGTCTCAAAAAATTTGGTACATGTTTTGCTTACCCAAGCTGTTTTCCAATCTGGAAAGGCCCACTCCTGTAGTTTTAGGAGTCTTCTGCCCAATTGTTGATATAGTTATTCCACTAAATTGTGGGCTAGACAGATTGTAATCAAGAGGCACTTCATAGGATAATGACCATGACAATGGCAGGGTAATATCTGAATTCGTTGTCGAAAAAAAATGTACTAAAGATCGCTGTGTCATTGGGAGACTGTCTTGGGTGTCTTTTCTTCTGTGTACAAAAATTAGTATAATAAGCAAAGTGAGAAAGTCAGAATGAATAGATATGAACATAAGAATCATGAACTATGATTATTACCCAGAGTTCTGCTTTTCAAAGGTAATATGCATCTACATAAGCATAAGGACATCTTATAGTTGTAGTTTTAACAATCTAAATAGGATGTTTGAGTGTTAAGAAATGCTTTTATCTACTCTTTTATCTAAAAATCAGTCAATTGGGAGTGCCTGGGTGGCTCAGCTGGTTAAGCATCTGCCTTCAGCTCAGGTCATGATCTTGGGGTCCTGGAATTGAGTCCTGCATCAGGCACCCCGCTCAGTGGTGAGTCTGCTTCTCCTTCTCCATCTGTGCTCCTTTTCCCTCTGTGCTCTCTTGTGCTCTCTCTGTCTCTGAAGGAAATAAATAAAATCTTTACTAAAAAAATAAAAAAATAAAAATTAGTCAGTTGCTACTGTAGATGATTTTGAAAAGTGCAAAAGTAGAAAGAAGACAAAAATCACCAAAATGCTAACAACCAAAAATTTTACCAAAAAATCACCAAAATGCTACCAATCATTTCATTCCAGCCTTTTTTTTTTTTATCATGTTATGTTAGTCACCATACAGTACATCACTAGTTTTTGATGTAGTGTTCAATGATTCATTATCTGTGTCTAACACCCAGTGCTCATTACAACACATGCCCTCCTTAATACCCATCACCCTGTTACTCCATACCCCCACCCCCCTCTCCTCTTAAGCCCTCAGATTGTTTCTCAGAGTCCATAGTCTCTCATGGTTCATCCCCCTCCCTCTTATTTCCACCTCCCTTCAGTTTTCCCTTCCTTCCCATAATGTCCTCCATGCTATTCCTTATGTTCCACAAATAAGTGAAACCATACGATAATTGACCTTTTCTGCTTGACTTATTTCACTTAGAATAATCTCCTCCAGTTCCATGCAAATGGTGGGTATTCATCTTTTCTGATGGCTGAGTAATATTCAATTGTATATATGAACCACATCTTCTTTATCCATTCATGTGTTGAAGGACACCTTGGTTTCTTCCATAGTTTGGCTGTTGTGGACATTGCTGCTATGAACATTGGGATGCAGGTGCCCCTTCTTTTCACTACATCTGTATCTTTGGGATAAATACCCAGTAGCGCAATTGCTAGGTCATAGGGTAGCTCTATTTTTAACTTCTTGAGGAACCTCCATAATGTTTTCCAGAGTGGTCGCACCAGCTTGCATTCCCACCAACAGTGTAGGAGGGTTCCCTTTCTCCATATTCTCACCAACATTCATGTTTCCTGCCTTGTTAATTTTTGCCATTCTAACTGGTGTGAGGTGGTATCTCAGTGTGGTTTTGATTTGAATTTCCCTGATGGCTAATGATGTCAAACATTTTTTCATGTGTCTGTTAGCCATTTGTATGTCTTCTTTTGAGAAGTGTCTGTTCATGTCTTCTGCCCATTTTTTGACTGATTTGTTTTTTGGGTGTTGAGTTTGATACATTCTTTATAGATCTTGGATACCAGCCCTTTATCTGATAAGAATTTGCAAATATCTTCTCCTATTCTGTGGATAGCCTGTTAGTTTTGTTGACTGTTTCCTTTGCCACGCAGAAGTTTTTTTCTTGATGAAGTACCAAAAGTTCATTTCTGCTTTTGTTTCCCTTGTCTTTGGAGACATGTCATGAAAGAAGTTGCTGTGGCCAAGGTCGAAGAGGTTACTGCCTATGTTCTTCCCTAGGATTTTGATGGATTCCTGTCTCACATTGGGGTCTTTCATTTTGAGTTTATCTTTGTGTATGATGTAAGGGAATGGTCCAGTTTCAGTCTTCTGCATGTGGCTGTCTAATTTTCCCAGCACCATTTACTGAAGAGATTCTTTTTTCCATTGGATATTTTTTCCTGCTTTGTTGAAGATTAGTTGATCACAGAGTTGAGGGTCCATTTCTGGGCTCTCTATTCTGTTTCATTGATCTATGTGTCTGTTTTTGTGCCAGTACCATGCTGTCTTGATGATCACAGCTTTGTAATATAGCTTGAAGTCAGCCATTGTGATGCCCCAGCTTTGGTTTTCTTTTTCAACACTTCCTTGACTATTTGGAGTATTTTCTGGTTCCACACAAATTTTAGGAAGGCTTGTTCCAGCTCTTTGAAAAATGCCAATGGTATTTTAATAGGAATGGCATTGAAAGTGTTGATTGCTCTGGCAGCATAGACATTTTAACAATGTTTATTCTTCCAATCCATGACCATGGAATGCTTTTCCATCTCTTTGCGTCTTCCTCAATTTCTTTCATAAATGTTCTGTAGTTTCTAGAGTATAGATCATTTACCTCTTTGGTTAGGTTTATTCCTAGGTATCTTATGGTTTTTGGTGCTATTGTAAATGGAATTGATTCCCTAATTTCTTTTTCTACAGTCACATTGTTAGTGTATAGAAAAGCAACGGATTTCTGTGCATTGATTTTCTATCCTGCCACAGTACTGAATTGCTCTATGAGTTCTAGTAACTTTGGGGTGGAGTCTTTTGGGTTTTCCACAAAAAGTATCATGTCATCTGTGAAGAGAGAGAGTTTGACTTCTTTGCCAATTTGAATCCCTTTTATTTCTTTTTGTTGTCTGATTGCTGAGGCTAGTACTTCTAGTACTACATTGAACAATAATGGTGAGAGTGGACATCCCTGTTGTGTTCCTGATCTTAAGGGAAAAGCTCTCAGCCTTTCCCCATTGAGACTGATATTCTCTGTGGGCTTTTCATAGATGGTTTTTATGAAATTGAGGAATGTTCCCTCTATCCCTACACTCTGAAGAGGTTTAGTTTTAATCGGGAAAGGATGCTGTATTTTGTCAAGTGCTTTTTCTGCATCAATTGATAAGAATCATATGGTTCTTGTCTTTTCTTTTATTAATGTGCTCTATCACATTGATTGATTGGTAAATGTTGAACCACCCTTGCATCCCAGGAATAAATTCCATCTGGTCATGATGGATAATCCTTTTAATGTACAGTTGGATCCTATGGCTAGGATCTTATTGAGTATTTTGGCAACCATATTCATCAGGGATATTGGTCTGTAATTCTTCTTTTTGATGGGGTCTTTGCCTGGTTTTGGGATCAAGGTAATGCTGGATCATAGAATGAGTTTGGAAGTTTTCCTTCTGTTTCTCTTTTTTGAAACAGCTTCAGTAGAATAGGTACTATTTCTTTAAATGTTTGGTAGATTTCCCCTGGGAAGGTATCTGGACCTGGACTCTTGTTTTTTGGGAGGTTTTTGATTACTGCTTCAATTTTGTTACTGGTTATTGGTCTATTCAGATTGTCAATTTCTTCCTGTTTCAGTCTTGGTAGTTTGTAAGTTTCCAGGAAGGCATCCATTTCTTCCAGGTTGCTTAATTTGTTGGCATATAGTTGATGATAATAATTTCTAATAATTGTTTCTATTTCATTGGTGTCATTTGTGATCTCTCCCCTTTCATTCATAATTTTATTAATTTGGGTCCTTTCTCTTTTCTTTTGGATAAGTCTGGCCAGAGGTTTATTGATCTTACTAATTCTTTCAAAGAACCTGCTACTAGTTCCATTGATCTGCTCTACTGTTTTTCTGGTTTCTATTTCATTGATTACTGCTTTATTCTTTATTATTTCTCTTCTCCTGCTTGGGTTAGAGTTTGTTTGTTTGTTTTTTTGCTGTTCTTTCTCCAGTTACTTTAGGTGTAAGGTTAACTTGTGCATTCGGGATTTTTCTACTTTTTTGAGTGAAGCTTGGATGGCTATGTATTTCCCCCTCAGGACTGCCTTTGCAGTCTCCCATTGGTTTTGGACCAGTGTGTTTTCATTTTCATTGGTTTCCATGAATTGTCTAAGTTCTTCTTTAATTTCCTGGTTGACCCAAACATTCTTGAATTCCTTCCAATTTTTTTCTTGTGATTGAGTTCCAGTTTCACAGCAGTGTGGTCTGAAAGTATGCAGGGAATAATCTCAATCTTTTGGTATCAGTTGAGACCTGATTTGTGACCCAGTATGTGGGTCTGGAGAAAGTTCTGTGCACATTCGAGATGAATGAGTATTCTGTTGTTTTAGGGTGGAATGTTCTGTATATATCTATGAATTCCATCTGGTCCAATGTGTCATTCAGAGCTCTTGTTTCTTTGTTGATCTTCTGCTTAGATGATCTGTCCATTGCTGAGAGTGGAGTGTTGAGGTCTCCTACTATTAAAGTATTATCAACAATATGATTCTTTATTTTGGTTAACAGTTGGCTTATGTAGTTGGCTGCTCCCATATTGGGGGCATAGATATTTACAATTGTTCGATCTTCTTGTTGGATAAACCCTTTAAGTATGATATAGTGTCCCTTTACATCTCTTACTACAGTCTTTAGCTTAAAATTTAATTTGTCTGATATGAGAATTGCTACCCCAGCTTTCTGAGGTCTGTTGGCATGATAAGTGGTTCTCCATCCCCTCACTTTTCATCTGGTGGTATCTTTAGGCTCAAAATGAGTGTCTTGTAGACAGCATATGGATGCGTCATGTATTTTATCCAATCTACAACCCAGTGCCGTTTCATGGGAGCATTTAGGCCATTCACACTGAGAGTGCCTATTTTAAGATGATTTTAGTGCCATCATTTTGCCTGTGAAGTCCCTGTTTCCATAGAATGTCTCTGTAAATTTCTGGTCTATATTATTCTTGGTGTCTTTTTTCATTTATAGAATCCCCCTTAATATTTCTTACAGGGCTGGCTTGGTGGTCACATATTATTTCAGTTTCTGCTGCTCCTGGAAGCTCCCTGTCTCCCCAACCATCCTGAGTGATAGCCTTGCTGGATAAAGTATCCTTGGCTGCATGTTCTCATTTAGTACCCTGACTATGTCTTGCCAGCCCTTCCTGGCTTTCCAGGTCTCTGTGGAGAGGTCTGACATTATTCTGATGTTCTTCCCTCCATATATAAGAAATCTCTTCCCCCTAGCTGCTCTCAGGATAGCTTCCTTGGCTCTAAGATTTGCAAATTTTACTATTATATGCCGGGGCACTGGTCTGTTCTTATTGATCTCGGGAGGGGTCCTCTGCCTCTTGGACATGAATGCTTGTTTCCTTCCCCAGGTATGGAAGTTCTCAGCTATGATTTGCTCAAATATACCTTCTAGTCCTCTCTCTCTCTACCCCGTCAGGGATCCCAATAATTCTGACATTGGAACATTTCATGGCATCATTGATCTTTCTAAGTCTGTTCTCATGGGCTTCTAGTTGTTTTTCTCAGGCCAACTTGGCTTCCTTCCTTTCTATCATCTTATTTTCTAGCTCACTAATTCATTCTTCTGCCTCATTTACCTTGGCTGTCAGGGTATCCAGTTTAGACTGTATCTCATTCATAGCAGTTTTAAGTTTGGCCTGATTGATCTCATTTTGGCCCTTAGAGATTCTATATTTTGGTGCTAATATTTTTCTCAAGCCTAGATATCGACTTCATAGTTGCTACTCTGAAGTCTATCTCTGACATCTTACTTATATTTGTATCCAGTAGGTCTACGGAAGAGGCCATAGTCTCTGATTCTTTTCTTTGTTGCGGGCTCCTTCTCCTAGTCATTCTGTTGAGGGGTGGTTGAGGGAATGTACAGAATCCAAAGTATTAACCATGACCCAAGCAAAATGCACCCATTTTATGGGGACCCTCGGGTTGTCATCCTCTTGTTCTTCCAGCCTGTCTTCTGGGGGAGGGACCAGCCACCCTGTTACTCAGACAATCCTGCTTGGGCAGAGATGCCATGCCCCTGTCCAGGGGGTGGGCTCAGTGGAAAACAGTTTTTTGAGCTTTTGTTCTCTGGTGGCTTTCCATGTCTCTTCCAAGAGTTAGAGCAAAAATAGCCACTCCCAAACCTCTGTCCAAGAACAGAGAGATCGCAGTCTGCTCTTCACTGAGTCCTACAGGACACATAGTCTCCGCTTCTGTATGCACTGCTAAAAACCGCAGCCTCCTGTAGTTGTGTGCGCCCACAGCAACTCTCCCAGAGGTCGACCCCAGGGCCGGGGCATGTCTCTGCCCTTTGTGCTTATAAAACTGTGAGCAGTACTGGGTTCGTGTGCATGCACCCACAGTTCCTGCTCTAAAGCCCTTTCCCAGATGCTACCGCTCTGTGAGTTTGTGCCTGGTTCCCAGTGTGGGATGCTTTTGCGCAGGTGCCAGCTTATGGTGGCTCCCTCCCTCTTCTGTATATCTTCCGATATCATCCACAGATTCACGACTCCACCCTCCATACCTTGCAAACGGCAGAGATTTTCTGCTTGTAGAGATCCAGATATATATTTTTACATCTCAGGCTGATTTCGTGGGTGTTCAGAATAGTTTGGTAGATATACAGCTAAATTCAGGGGACTGGTTGAAATAGGGTTCCCAACTCCTCCACCATCTTGCCTCTTCCACTCCATTCCAGGACTTTTTTTTTTTTAATTTATTTATTTTACACAGAGAGAGACAGCAAGAGAGGGAACACGAGCAGGGGGAGTGGGAGAGGGAGAAGCAGGCTTCCCGCTGAGCATGGAGCCTGATGTGGGGCTCGATCCCAGGACCCTGGGACCATGACCTGAGCTGAAGGCAGATGCTTAACGACTGAGCCACCCAGGCGCCCCCATTCCAGGACTTTTAATGTATTTTTTTTTACTCAAAATTGAGACTCTAGAAACCACTTATATCCCACTTTTATTACTTATTATATCATATTTCCCTTTCCATTAACTAAAAAAAGTATAATATATAATATAATTCCTGTTTAATATTATTATTTAGTAAACTTTGTTCCTTTAATTCCTACTGCTTAACTAATTTTCCTATATTTATAAAAATTCTAGCGTTGTCTACTTTCAAATATATTCTGAAAATTAATTACTTTGAATACAGTATACATGTGTATATGTGTGTACATGTGTGTATGTGTGTGTGCACGTGTGTGTATGTATGTTGAGGAGAATACAGAAAAGGAAGAAAACAGACTTAATTTCCAGGTATTATTTTTATAATTAAATCTTATTATGAACACAGGCTTTTCTTTTTTTTTTAAGTATAAAAACATTTGTTAACTAGTGTGCATTTAAACAAAGCCTCTAAACTACAACACAATTATTTTACAAGTAAAACAATAGTCCCATGGCATGGCTCATGAAAAGATTTATGACAACTTCATTTTATGAGTCACATTGAGACTAAGTTACCTCAAAGCAATCTGTGTGTATGTGTATGTATGTGTGTGTGTTTAATACTTGAATTGTGAACAAAGTCCTGGGGTCCAAAATCCTTTGGCTTTTTGAAAAACTGGATAAATATCCCGTTCATGCACTCCCTTACTGGGGACCACTTATATATCCTCTGTAAGTCAAGAGCTAAGAATTTTGCCTCCACAGATTTTCTCTATTTTGATTCTTTATTTTACAGAGTTACTGTAACGATATTTTAGCAAGTCTGTTTTTTGTTTGTTTCATTTTTGTTTTCCAAATGTTTCTATAAGGGAAAGGGCCTGAAGTTTCCTAATGTGCCAAAGTGATGTCAGTCTTAATCTCTTTATTTATTAAGAGGTAGTCATAATAATTTTATTATACAATTTGTAAATTCCTTCATCAGAAATATTATATCCGGAGGGTTTTGTACTCAAAACCAGACTTCTCTAAATGTACCTCTCAGAGGGCACAGACAGCTCAGGCAATTTTTTTTTTTTTTTTTTTAGTAAATGGCTTTGGCTTTGAAAATTGTACTCTTAGGCCACTGCATATTAAGCTTGAGCATTTGCCATTCCGCTGACACCCCAAGCACTCATCTTTGTCAGAAAAGCTCTAATCCATGAAAATATACTCTTGAGTAGGATGTGGTGGTTTGTGGGAAGGAGACTAAGAGGTAGATTGTCAAATTACAATATTTCATCCCTGTCCAACCTGAGACAAGATCATATGACACAATTTCTGTCTGACGCTGGTTAACATAAGCAGGAAAAGTACTTTTCTTTTCAAAGTTCCTTACATCTGGGTTTCATTACAAACTGGCTGTATCTTTTCAGCATGTTCATTTTAAAAGCTCCAAAGTTTTTTCTTCCCCAGTAAAACAATAGCATTTCCAAATAATTTAATTCCACAGAAGATTCCTAGTAAGCCTCTACAAATGTTGTGATTAAAGAAACCTGGCCTAGGGCCACAAAGTGTTCTTATTTTTGTGGTTGAATAAGATATTTCTAATGGCTGCACACACCTTTGAAAGAGCTGAGACATTTCACAAGAGGCATATGTGATGTAGCCCATTGTCTAAATCCTGCACTCACCATCTTGTTAGAGTCCTTTTGGAAGATTAGAGACTTGGCCTAGTGCTTAGTTAGCTTGCCCTTTATCATATGGAATTTTCCAAGTCCCTTCTTGGTATTTTGTTCCCTCTGTAACTGATTAGCACTACACCAGAGGTAGTTAAAAAAGTTCAATTCTGGGCACCTGGGTGGCTCAGTCAGTTAAACATTTGCCTTCGGCTCAAGTCATGATCCCAGCGTCCTGGGATCGAGCCCCACATCAGGCTCCCTGCTGAGCAGGGAGCCTGCTTCTCCATCTCCCTCTCCCTCTGCCCTCCTGCCTGCCTACTTGTGATCTCTCTGTCAAATAAATAAATAAAATCTTAAAAAAGTTCAATTCCCACAATTCAGTGTTATTTTAGGAGATGCTACACTGGTAATTCTGACAACAATCATTTCTCAGATGACCTCTAAGAACAAATTTTTAAAAGATGAACTTGAACTGATCAGTAAACACACGACATGTAGGTACAAAATAACACTAGCTTTATATTAGGTATATTCAATACTAGAGGTCATTTTTTAAAAAACACTGGAAAACCCATGCTAATACTTTTATTGATAGAATGATTTATAGTAGTAGTAAAATAAGGACTTGTAGTTTTTTGTTTTTTTTTTTTGGTGGTGGGAAGGGAGTTGTAGTTTTTATTTAACATCTTCACAGGCATTTCCAAAACCAAAATTCTCTATTAATTCTTTGTCCCAAAGGTTAGTAAAGGAGTTCTAAAGAAATTATCTGCCAACTGCCTTAACATGTTAGATATAAGTTCTGGAATCTCAACCATGTCTTGTATGATAGAGATCTGTCCATGTGAAGTTTTGTATTACTCAAGTACTGAACCTTATAAAATAGTGTTTGAGGAAATAGTTATGTTATAATTAATTAATTTTAGAAAAAGTGTGGAATCAATTCTAGTTACAACTACTTCATAAGATGTTTTGAAACAAGAGGTCAAGTACTCCATCATTATCCTCCAAATCTCATCCTTCTCTCATTTGTGCCATTCTTACTGTGCTTGGTTCTCCATTTTATCTTCCTGCTCATGGAGTTCACTCTGCAGGGCCACTGGAGTTTCCTGACTGGCCTGCATGCCTTTCGTCTTGGCTAGAAGAAAAGTCTCTTTACTTTCCTGGGGAAACAAATCATGATACTAGTCATAAATACAGCTGAAGTTCAAGGTAGATTTTCTTTTCAAATGACCTCAACTGTCTACCTCAAAGCATCTGCCAGATTTAATAATTTCTTTCCCAAGCTGGTGCCAGAACCAGGTTTCTAAAGTGAATATGTAAGTACTGACATAACCAATACTAGTATTGGCTAAGCATATTATGCAAATCAAGGTGAAGGTGTGTGGCATTCACTGGAAGCAGCTCAAGAGAAAGGGCAGCAACCCAGCACAGCTACCTTTATGACTAGAACCTTCGTATCTGGCCAACACTGCCTGTTAGAACACTGTGAGGTAATGTCTCCATGGTTACAAAGTTCCAGTCTCTGAGCAATTATGTTGATGCTGCACCTGCTTTGTAGTTTGCAGACATTAAGTAGGGTAACTTGCTTTTAGGAGAGCCATAACTTTCACCAAATTTTGCCACCAAAATATTCAATACCTCTTTTGGATTTATGAGGGTCAAAGCTAGTATGTAAATAGTTGGAGCATTAGTCAATGTTTTAATTGTTTTTTGATTTTTGTTTGTTTTGTTTTGACAAATGCTCTTTGAACACATGGAAATGGCCAAGCAGCAAGAACAGAAAACTTGTGTACTTTTCAGGCAGAAAGAAACCTATTAGTAGAAGTAGTGAAATCAAAGCCAGCAGATTTACATTCCTCTACTATTTATGCCAGCAGTATGATTTAGAAGAAATCACTTAGTTCAGATTCTAACCTTGAGTAAAAGATTCACACTTAATGTTTTATGATAATGATGGTATAAGAATAAAATTAACACTAGGGCACCTGAGTGGCTCAGTTGGTTAAGCGACTGCCTTCGGCTCAGGTCATGATCCTGGAGTCCTGGGATCGAGTCCCGCCTCGGGCTCCCTGCTCAGCAGGGAGTCTGCTTCTCCCTCTGACCCTCCCCCCTCTCATGTGCTCACTCTCTCTCTCATTCTCTCTCTCAAATAAATAAATAAAATCTTTAAAAAAAAAGAATGAAATTAACACTATACACAGTAATAAGATATATTAGCAATGATGATTATTGGATGAGTAATTTCATTCAATAAATATTTAAATAAGCATCAATTCTGTACCAGGAACCAGCTAGGTTCTATGAATTAACAGTTCCTACTTCAAGGAATAATGATAAAGTATCTTTCAATCTAGATTAGAAAATGGTTTCCATCATGGAATGATAAGCATTATTTAAATACAAAGGACAATGAAAAAAATAACTGTTTTAATAAGTCAAAAGAAAAAGATTTCTTGGGGACCCTGTGAAATAGTGGCATAAGAGGATCCTAAACTATCTTGTCACACAGATACTCCTAGATAACAGCCACATCAGTGTAATTAACCCAGAAAATGACTTGAAGACTGGCATAATAGACTCTCTACAGTTAGAGAAAGGAGGTCAGATCAGAAAATGATGGAAAGGATGGAGCCCCAGTTGGGAACAAACCTAACCTGTGAGACTAACCACAAAGACTGGAGGGACACCACAAGCACAGAAGAGGGAGAGGAAGAGATCCTACACCAGGCACCCCAGACATGTAGGACCTACACTGGGAAGATGAGTCCCCAGTAACATTTTGCTTTGAAAATTAGAGATGCTTAACTTTGTGAGTATTTACAATCACTGGGGTTTAACACTGGGAACTTTTTAAAAATCAGTGGGATCAGCTCCAGGAGGGCCAGAGGGTGATAGGAAATAGTCCCCACCCTTAAAGAGACAGCACAAAAATAACCCTGCCAAGATACAGCATACAAGCAGCAGTTTGAAAAGTGGCGATTTATTTACTAATCTCAGAACATCAGCTAGAGGGGCAGAAATCTTTAAGAAATTTTTCGAAGAACAAAAGAGCTGGTGGGCACCATTCTCCCCATTTATCCCCAGCCTAGATACCCAGACATCTGTGGGGAAACAGCATAAACACTTGCTACTTAGCCCAGGTTTCATCTTGCAAGCAGATGGGCACTTACCTTGCTAACACCTGTGTGCTCTACCCCCCACATTCCCCTGAAGACTGTTCCATTCAACCTGCCTCAATCCTTCCAAAGCTATGCCTGATGCGTTTCATTCTTCAAGCAGCGCTGACAGTGGCCAGCACCACTCCAAAGTGACTCTTGCTCTGGTGAGAGGGGAAGATAATCACAAACACAAGTTCCACTGAAGCCCCAGAAGTGGGCTGGGGGAAAACATCTGATATGACTGCTGGCTCTGCCCACCAACAAAAACCTCACAGGCAGCAGCACAAAGAAAGAGCTCTGTAATTGGGGGGTGGGGGTGGTCACTACAACCCAAAAAGACAGACTGGGGGCAGACCTCTGGCCTGATAGTAGGTCTCATTCTCAAAAAAAAAAAAAAAAAAAAAAGCCACTCAGGATACAATGCAGGTAGATGTGTCCACAGTTCTGGCAAATAGGCTGAGGGCAAGCATCTGGTCTGACCCAACTACAGGCCCAAAGTCACCCCAGACTGGCCCCATAATAGCAGAGATACCAAACCCTGCCCCCAAGAAAGATGGCTGTGCAGCTGACTGGACTGAAGGCAAATGCGGCTCAACCACAATGGTAGTGTGCATGCAACAAACACAGGAGACATCTCTGAAGTGCCAGGTTCTGGTGAACAAGGGACATTGCACTATGGGGCACAACAGGATCTCTTCTTCATAAGTCCACTACTTTTAAGAGCAGGAAATGTAGTTGACATACTGAATACATAGACACAGAGAATTAGATCAAATGAGACAGAGGAATATATCCCAAAGGAAAGATCAGGACAAAATCACAACAAAATGATTTGGAAATGAGCAATATGCCTCATAAAGAATTCAAAGTAATAGTCATAAAGATACTAATTGGATGTGAGAAAAGACTGGAGGATCTCAGTGAGACCTTCAACAAAGAGACAGAAAATATAAAAAAAGAACCAATCAATGATGTAGAGCTTAACTGCTGAAATTAAAAATACACTGGAGGGAATCAGTAGTAGGTCAGAGAAAGCAGAATAATGAATCAGTGAGCTGGAAGACAGAATAATGGAAAGCAAAGAAACTGAACAACAAAAAGATAAAAGTATTAATAAAAAATGAGAATACATCAAGGACATAATGAAGCATAGTAACATTCACATTATAGGGATCCCAGAAAAAGAAAATAGAGAAAGGGAGGCAGAAAATTTATTTGAAGAAATGACAGCTGAAAACTTCCCTAATCTGGGGAAGGAAATAGACCTCCAGATCTAGGAGGCACAGAAAGCCCTCGCAACCCAGGGAAGTCCACACCGAGACACATAATATTCACAATGGCAAAAAGTAATGGCAAAGAAAGAATCTTAAAGGCAACAAAAGAAAGGAAAACAGTTACATACAAGGGAAACCCCACAAAGCTACCTGCTGATTTTTCAGCAGAAATTTTGTAAGCCAGAGGTGTGGCATGATATATTCAAAGTGCTAAAAGGAAAAAGCTTGCAACCAAAAATACTCTATCCCACAATGCTATCATTCAGAATAGAAGGAGAAAGAAAAGTTTCTTAGACAAACAAAATTTAAAGGAGGTCATCACCACTAAATCAGACAAATAAGAAAGGTTAAACGGAATTCTTTGAGTGGAAAGAAATGGCCAAGTGGAAAGAATAAGAAAATTATAAAAGGAAAAAATTTCACAGGTACATGCGAACATAATAAAAGTAGTAGATTAGTACTTATAAAGCCAGTATAGTTAAACCACAAAAACAGTAAAGTCATATCTATAAAAATGAGTCAAGGGCTAAACAAAATAAAAGGATGTAAAGTATGACATCATATAAATAAAATATGGGAGGAGAGAGTAAAAATGTAGTACTTTAAGAATGGTTCAAACTTAAGCAGCCATCATCCTAATAGAGACTGCTAGATGCATAGGATATTATATACCAACCTAATGATAATCACAGATAGAAAACTGTAAAAGATATGCAAAGAAGAAAAGAAAGGAATCCAAGTATATCACTAAAGAAAGCAAACAAACCAAAAAGGAAGAGAGCAAGAGAAGAAAGGAAGAGTGAACTACAAAAACAACCATAAAGCAAGGAACAAAATGACAATAACTATATACCTATCAGTAATTACTTTGAATGTAAATAGACTAAATGCTCACATCAAGACATAGCATGACTGAATAGATAAAAAAGCAAACTCCATCTATATGCTGCCTATACACAACTCACTTCTAACCTAAAGATGCATACAAACTGAAAGTGCAGGGATGGAAAAACAATTATCATTCAAATAGAAGTGAAAACAAAAACAAAAATAAACAAACAAAAACAAACAAGTGAAAAGAAAGCTGGGGTAAGAATACTTATATTGAACAAAATAGATCTTAAAACAAAGACTATAACAAGAGACAAAGAAGGATACTACCTAACAAGAAAGGGAACAATCCAACAAGAAGATAAAACAATTATAAATATTTATGTACCCAACATGGGAGCACCCAGATACATAAAGCACCTATTAACAGACATAAAGAGAGTAACCTAGTAATACAATAATAGTAAAGGACTTTAACACCCCACTTACATCAATGGATATATCACCCAGATGGAAAAATCAACAAAGAAAGAGTGGCTTTGAATGACACATTGAACCAGATGGATCTAACAGATATATTCAGAACATTTCATCCAAAAACAGCATAATACACATTTTTTTTCAAGTGCACATGAAACAGTCTCCAGAACAGACCACAGGTAGGGCCACAAAGCAAATTTCAAAAAATTCAAAGATTGATATTGTATCATGCATCTTTTCTGATGATTATGGTACGAAACTAGAAATCTAACACACACACACACACACACACACACACACACACAAATCTGGAAGAACACAAATACATGGAGGGTAAACAACATGGTCCTAGACAATGAATGGGTCAACCAAGAAATCAAAGATGAAATAAAAAACACATGGAGACAAATGAAAATG